ACCGGGCTGAAATCCCATCCCATGGGGCTGTGGAAGGAGTGGCAATAAATGTGCATTTAAAGGAAAAAAATATCTATACGTGCTCTGGGTGAGTGTCTGCTCTGGGGTTCGCTGTGTAGCTGCCTGGCCGGCAAGTGTGGGGTGGGGGTCCCACACCTGCAGCACAGCCCAGGCAGGTGCCATTTCCCCAGGCGAGGAGGGGAACGGGGCTGCTCAGGGTCACCCGCCCCGAGAGCTGCTGCCTGGGGCTCAGGAGGACGCGGCGGTCCTTTGGGGCAGGACTGCGCGTTGCAGGAACGGGGGGGTGTCAGTAAGTGCTCCACTTGAGTGGCTTTTGGGGACTGTCCCGAGGCATTGCCAGCACGGCAGGGGCAGCGTGGGCTGGTGCAGACCCCAGAGGCTGCCCCTTGTCCATTGGGTGCACCAACAACGCCTTGAGCTGTAAACCCCAAACTGCCTCAGGGGCACTGTAAAAGCAAAAAAAAGACAAACCCAAACCTTGTTTCCCTAAGTCTGAGCAAGGCTGCTGAGGACATGGAGAGTGGTTGCAGGCAGATGCAGAAGCCCAGAGCCTCAAAGGCTTTGATGCCATCCCTAATTGCCCCGAGCACTAATGACCTGAGTGCCTCCAGGGGTGTTTCCCTCCTCACCCCCCAAGCTGCTTTGACAGCAGCAGAGAGCGGTTTGGCAGATGTCCGCAGCAGCAGAGGATGGGGTTAGGACCATTGCAAAGACCTTGCTGCCAACCTGCTTCTCCCTAAGATACTCCAGGAAAGCCACCAAAATGCCGCATGGGTGACAGTGGAAGTGCTACTCATTCATCACACCCCAGGGGACATCTGCCCTCAGCCACAGGCCTTGCTGAGAGCCCCCTCCTGGGCTTTCTTGGGTCACATAGCCAGAGACTTGCTGATGGCATTGAGGTTTTTGAAAGGCTTGCTGTTGGCTGGGAAGGGAATGAGCCCTTTGGGCATGCAGAGCCATTTAACGTGGCCCGGGGCGCCAGCCCCTTTGCTAGAAAAGCCCCCGTGTGCTTAACCATGAGCAAGGGTTTTGCAGAGCTTAACCCTGAGCAAGCAACAGTGATGCCGCGCTCGGAGTAAGAGGAGGCTGTGGGGTACCAGAAATGAGCGCAAGGTCTTTTCCAGGCACTCGGGGTGTTTTTTCCCCTCTCCGCAACACCCAGTCCCTAGAAAGGCACTTTGCCACCCAAACTCCCCACTTGGTTTATAAGCAGAAGGAACTGCCTGCCCCTCTCCTGTGGGCGCTGGCCAGTGGCTCCCATCCCTGGGGCTAGCTGCGGCCATAAGCTCCTAATCTCTGCCATATCTCAGATCATAAACATCTCCCTGCGAGGCCTGGCACGGCGCTGCCCCGACCTCCCCCTGCTGCGCTATCACCACAAGATAAAGCCATCTCAAGCTGAACGTGGTACAAAGCATTCAATTTTTATAGAGCCCTCTTATCTCCCGAAACTCAGAGCAATCCTCCCTTTTTATCACCGGGATGCGAGCCATCCTTTCTACTTATCGTTAGAAATTGCTGCTGCTTGATTAAGTGCAGGGAATGATGTATTCTCCTGAACATTAAACTTTAACTGACCTCCCCTTCTCTTCAAGTATCATGCTTTTTGCTGCTGTGAGGCCACGGTCAGCCCTCACCCCGGCCTGGCTGGGTCCCTGGGGGTGCAGGGTGATGGAGCGGGAGTGACTCGGGGGCACGACAGAGAGCTGCAACGGTGTGAAACATCTTGTGGTTTATGTGCAGGCAGGGAAAAACTGCAGTCCTGCACTGTCTGCTGGCCCTCGGGCACAGGGGAGTGTGGACAGCAGGACTGGGTGGCTTGGAGCATCCCTGGAGCACCCATCTCCAGCTGCTTCATCCCACAGCCAGCTCCCAGGGAGGAGGGACCCGCTGGCGGGTGTGTTGGAGCCTGTTGGGAGCAGCCTGCCCTTACCAGCCTTTCCCAGAGCCCCCTGTTTGCCCTTCCCACCAAATGCACCGCTCTGGGGCCAATGTAGCAATCAATCACTATTTTTTTTTCCCTTAAAAAAAAGGAATCCCTGCAGGGTGTTACCCCCTGCTCTGAACAACCCTCTGCAGCTTCTTTGCATGAAAGCACCCAGCTGCCTTGCTGCTCTCGGCTGCTAATTCCTGCATGGAGGCGAGCGATTTGGAAAAGCAGATCTGGGACCCTGGCAGCAGGAGGGCTCCGTGCCGGTGCCTGCAGCACCCGTCGCTGCCTTCCTGCACAGCACGATGCAGGGAACAAAGCCTCACCAAATGAGCATGGCTGCCTTCCCCGGGCCCCTGCCATGTTGCAGTGGACGAGGCTGCTGGAGGACTGAGTGGGGAAGCATCCCAGAAACGCCAAGAAGCTTTCGGCAAAGAAAAGGCCATGAAGACATCTGGGGATTTACAGGCCAGCACTCCAGGTGGGATCCAAGTGCCTTCTCCAGTATGTGATGCTACCATCATGAGAAGGTTTCAAGGACCTGATTTTATAGATGCCTAAATAAATACATAGGAATTGCTATATAAAAACACAGCGTATATTTATCTATTTTGCAGGGGGAGTGGGATGTAATTAGATGGCAGCGTCTCTCTCAAGGCTATCCCTGCTGTAATTCATGCCCTGAGGCGGCCAGCCAAGGGGAGGAGGAGGAATAAAGCAGGCAGCAGAACTGATGGGCTGCTCCCAGAAGCTTTGTTTTAATTAATTTCCAAAGCGCTCCTTGTAGAGGAGCAGGCAGCTCCTTCAAAGCCTCCACGCCCCCCACTGCTGCCCATGCTCTCATCCTTGTCCCAGCGTAGGGTCTGGGGCAGCGGGGTGAGCCCGGGAGCCAGCCCTCCTTCTTTGAGCCCCCAGGCCTTTTGGTTAAAGTGTGCAGAAGCTGTTGCTGTTTTTAGACAAGGGGACTTCTCCCTGGTCAAGAGGCCTCTTTGACGGCCACAGCGTGGGCAGGCGTTTGTCAGGGCAAACGCCTTTTCCCCTTTCATTGACTTTCTGCTTATTCCTGCT